CAAAATCAGTTCAGTACTCCTTAATTGCTCTGAAAAAAAGATTACCAAATTTTTAAATGAATTTGAGTTTTAAAATAACTAAAATAACATTTTTCTCATTATCTGCACTCAAACTATACATATTATTTGTAATGGAATAAAATATTTGATAAGACCACATTTATTTGCGTCTTCGGATGTTTCGTGGTTTCTCAAATCCACCTTAAATGTGATGAAATCATTGTGTTGGGTCAAACTAGCCACACTCGCAGTTAAATAACCTTATAATTACTAAACCCTATTATACTAGAATAATTGTCAATATCTATTGGAAATATTCTCATGTCACAATCAGTCAATTAACCCTCGCAACTGCAAATATCACTTCCCTCTTTATTATTTGTACGTCCTACATTCTTACACTTAAATTCACCACACTGTAAGTTGAACTCTAAAGCATCAGTACGAAAATACCAATAAACAGTTTGTAATCAACTCTTGAAGAAGAACCACTGTCTATCGCGTACAAGTCATTTGGTTATGTGTCAATTGCATTGTTATCTATGTTCAAATTAATTCACACACCGCCCAGACCTGAAGTTTCATGTTGGCAAGGAAAACGCTCCTTGACACAACACATTGTTTAAAAAGCAATCCTATGAGCAAACCCTGCTCTGAGTACAAGTTCTTTCTACAAATATCGTATCATAGCGAACATATTCAAGAATGTGTTTTTATCAATTTCTCACCAACCCATTCATTCCTACTTAGAACATGAAGGCAACACAAAAGAGCTGAAATGAAATTGATATTAACCCTAATTACGAAATATGCGCTTAAGTTATCAGGAGTGTAGGCAATGAACCCCATTTAAACTTCAAAATTGTTTCGCTTTATAGGTGTAAAATTTAATCAATGGAATGTAATGTCGGCACGTCCTAAGTGCTGCGTGAAAATTGCCCATTAGTTGCCACTGGAAACCAAAGGGCACGGTGCCTTAAAAGACGAGGAAGGTGTTTATTACATTGCACAGGCAAGGAAGCAGCTTTAAAACGCGTTTGATAATCTGTAAATCAAATACAATGAGATACAAATACACAAACACATGCCACCACGCCGGTAAAGTGGGATCTATTTCTGCTTTTATGGCCCCTGCGGCTTTCGCACGCCATTGTTGTGCGGCGTCCCTAACCGGACATTACACAATTGACTGCGCATATACTATATATGTGTGATGTGCGTATATGTGTGTATATGTGTGTGTAGGTTTCTTTTGTGCTCCAAATTATGAGAAGACTGCAAAGCGAGTGACCCATAAAATATCACGTAGATGGCAAAAACTGCGAAAAGCGTGGCCAACGCACATGATGAACCTACACATAAACAAAAAACACACACATATACAACACACACACACACACATCCAAAAATATACATACATACATACGAGTGCGTTTTTATGATTTGTGGCATAATGCCAGCCCGATTGTAAATCTAAACGGGCACTCATGCGAGTACATACAAATCTACACTGGCCATCTCCCGCTGTTAGTTGTGAGCTACATGGAGTTAACCAAAAAAAATGGTAAAAAATAACTAACTAACAACATAAAATGTTCGAAATACATAAAATAATCTATTAAATTAAAATCTAAATCTATTGCAATAGGTTAAGTATGTTAATCAAATCGTCTTAAACTTGTTCAATAAAAATTGTGTTTGTTTTTGTGACTATTGCATTTATAAGTTTTTTTTTGTCGTACTAGGAAATAATAATAAATGTAAATAACACTATAAAACAAACTTCTCGTTATTATATGTCTCCTAAAATAATATTCAATTTAACTTTTTGGCAAACATATATTTTACATACTTTTTATAAACAATTAATTGATAAATTTATTGCATGTGACATGGGACATGGCATGGGACAATCAAAATATTAAAATACGGCAGGATGCGTGTAAATGAGTTAATTGTAAACAATCACAAAAAAAATCTTGCTACTCAAAACAATATCATGCATGGTCAAGAAGCCTTTCGAACGAGTCGTTTAGGCCGTCGGACGGCTTCAAAGGCAAATTAAATGTTCATATTCTGAGTGGTTGATGATTTAATTGCGAAACAATTTTCCGTTATCAGGCATGTCGGAACAAACTTAATTCTTCCATTGAAATTAGATGAATCCTTGATTTGGGGTTCTTTAATTCCATTTCTACAAAAATCTGGTAAAGGTTTTTTAAAAATGTTTACTTTATTTTAAGGGTTTTTTTTTTTTTTTTGAAGTAACTTGTCTTGGATGTTCATTATTCTGTAGATCAAATTATTTCGAATTAAAGAATAAATAAAATACATCCACATATATTTTCTGAGTGTACCTGCATACTATACAGACATAGGGGTCATGCACTGGTCTGTTTTACGCCTATTCCCGTTCAACGGCCATTCGCTTGTTCAACAGCCAGCTGTCATTTTGATCTTTAAACTTTAATGGGGGCCAGGGCCTAGCTGAAAGCTCACAGCACGTCTTATGCTCCCTGAGGCTATTGTTGTTTTTGCTGCTGCTGTTGCTGCTACTGCTACTGATGTCGTTTTCATTGTTGTTTTTGTTAATTCCCAGTACGTGTCCTGTTAACGAAATGTTTTGCGTTTTTGTCCATGCTTGTAAATATTTATTTATTATTTATTTGTGTGCACGTTTTTGCTGGTCTTGCTTTCCGTTTTTATTGCACACCTTTTGGCCTCTTTCTTGAGCTTTTTAGCCAAAAAATTGATTTACGTCTTTCGTTGTCTGGTGCTGATGCTGCCTGATGCTGATGCCTGACGCTGAAAGCTTTGCGGCTTTGTTCGGCTACGTGCTGTTTTCAACGCTAGTTAATATACGACCACCAAAAACCTACGCTGCTCAACTTGGCGTATACTTAATATTAATTACATAGACAACACACCCACTAGGAAAAACAATGCTCGCTGGTAATCTCTTTTGTCACTCGAACTAAATCGCACAAAGTGTCTGAGTGCATGTTGAAAGGCCTATTCATTAATAAGTAAACATAACAAGCCAACCTCTAAGCACCAGTCCCACGCCCCAAACAGTTATTGTCAAGCCCACAGCTGAAAATGTTTGTGCACAGGAAGAAAATAAAATTGATATGAAATGTTAACTATGTGATATCGAAAAACAACAGCAGGCAATAATTAATCTATAAAGTCTAATTAAGACAATATTATTTGACTAAATCCATTAACAAATACTTTATTAAGCACGAAGCAGTCACGCGAAATATTTTAATTGCATTTCACGAACTAATCACATAAAATGCTGCTGGAGATGAAAAGGCGCTATTAAGAAATAACTGATGGTGACTAATGAAAGCAGTTACAGGCTCGCCAATGTTATTATTTGCTCATTAATGTAGTTAAACAAACCTCAAATCATTTTAAACTTAAGTTTAAGCTGACAGTATTGTTTTCATGTTCCTTGATAACTTTAATAAAACTTTTGAAACTTTTGAATTTTTTTCATAAAAAACCTAGTCAATGATGTTTTTTTAAAAGCGTTCTATTGATTATTTTTGTATAATTAAAAAAAAATTCGGAGTTTTCGTTCAGTGTAAACACTTTAATACCTACTAGTGGCCAGAAAACGGTTGCACACACCCATCTACTTACAATTAACACTAAAATTAATTCATATTAATTAAGGCTCATGCTCCAACGAAATGGGAAACCCACTTAATGTTGGGGCAGTTAGCTTTTATGACCTGAAATAGCTGCGGCCTCCAACATATATGTAGACGTAGAGTGCAAAATACAACAACAACAACAACAATTGAAACAGCAACAGCAGAAACAAAATACATTTAACCTCCGCAACAATCAACATGGCAAAGCGGCTAGTGTAATAAATAAGAACAACAGCAAAATGGCGCAGGCGTACATACAAATAGCCCAAGCCTTGGCAGACATAACAACGTTCATTAATAAGGAGCGTGAAAGGAAAAATTGTGGCCCAGCAGGAGGCGATGTAATCGCGCCACCAACGAAACGAAAATGAAAGTACGACACCAGAAAGCGGAACGGGAGCAGGCAAAATATTAATAACATTTAATAAGTAGTCGAAATTAGCAACGAGTGGCCATTTACGTGTGCGTGTGTGTCGGCGTTGATTAGGCATCTGAGTATGGGGATCTTTCGATAATGTCTGTGAATCATATTGGGTGAAAACAAAACTGTGGTCTTTATTTTGTTTTTACATTTGATTTTTAACAACAGCTACTGGCAGAGCATGGCCAAAGACTACACGTGTAGCTATAGCTTCCTTTATAATTGATCTATCAAGATGAAACTGGACATATTACATATACATACATATGTACTAACCAGATGTATAGTAATTGCAATTTGAGTACACCTAATTCTGTTTTGCCAAATTCTGAATGCCAAAGTCGAGCAGGCTCAACTCTTAAATACACTGTAACACCCCACAAAAAAGAAATTAAATTAATTTAATTAATTAATAAAATTAATTAACTAAATTAATTTAATTTAATTAATTAACTAAATTAATTTAATTAATTCACTAAATTAAATATAAAATATTCCATACATGCATACATACATTTACATCAGATATATAATCACTAACTGGATGTGTCCACCAAATTTTAGTTTAAAATTCCAAGAATTACGGGAGTTATAGAAAATCTTGAATAGGGGGGAGGGGGGGGTGGATCAGAAAAAATGAACAAACTCGTCCTTTCTCGGGCTCAGCAGAATCTGTATACCAAGTTTGGTTATTCTAGCTCTTATACTTTCTGAGATCCTTGCGTTCATACAGACAGACGGACAGACAGACGGACATGGCTATATCGACTCGGCTTGTCATGCTGATCAAGAATATATATACTTTGTGGGGTCTGCCATGCCTTCTTCTGTGTGTTACATGTACACTCGCACAAAACTAATATACCCTTGTACCCTTTGGGTACAGGCTATAAAAAACAAAAGGAAAATATACGTAAATTCGAAAAGTCTGCCTCTTTTATTTAAGTCTTTCAACTTAGTTGTATATAAGCATTATTGTAGATATCTTGAAAAACTGAGTGGGTTGCTGTCATCAAACGTTTACTTCCTGCCCTTTCGCATTCTCTTACGTCGATCCTTGCGCCATTTGCGCCAATATTTTTGAATTTTGCGCGCTGCTCGATTCATCATGAAATTGACAACTCTTCGCTGATGCTGGCGACGCTCCTCCTCTTCACGCTTCACAACCACCTCTTTGTAGACAGCCTCTTCCTGGCGAAAGTATACCATGAATTCGTCCAACTCCTTCTTGGCTGCCTTATAGGTGTCCTGCAGCTGTAGGTTTTCACGCATTTTCTCACCAATATTGTTATCGTACTTCTTGAGCAGTCCCTGAAGCTGTAGCAACAGTTTGTTTCTGAAAATGAACTACAGTGTCAAAATATTTAAAACATCAAAACATTGATATTTACTTCTCTTCACGCGCCTCTTTCTCCAATTGCAGATTATGAGCATTACTCTTCTGGTATGCTAGGCGGGCTTTTTCCAACTCTTCCTCAATTTCCTTAAGCTTTTCAACACTGGTCTTGTGATTGGAGCGTGCAGAACGGGTACACTTATCACTTGGAGTAGATGGAAGACAATATTATTGAATACCAAGTGCGATACTCTATCTCACCACTCACATTTCATTCTGTATAGTCATGTTGTTTTGCCATCTTTTAAGGGCGAGATCATGTTCGTATTTCTCCAGGAAGATCTCCTTCGCTGCCATTTTCCAGCGAAGCGCGATTTTTTGCTTGTGCAGCTTTGCACGCAGTTCAGAAATGCTGGTCTTGATGGCCTCATTTTCATGGTACACCTGATATAACTTACGCTCCTTGGCAATTTCACGTTTCGGCGTACGCCACAAATGCTCCTCGGTGACTTCATAAAGCATCTCGTATGCTCTAAGCTGCTTTAACTCCTCGCGATTCAGATTCTCAAGAAAGTTTGGGAAGTAACTGGCCAGTTCATAATTACGTTGAAAGAAGTCAATGATTTTGATCATGCCATGATCCATTAGAGGCGAGCGTTGTTCCGTGACAATTATATCGCGGCGCCGCATAAAATCGTTAACCAAACCAATGACCGCTTCATATTTCGTGCCCTCCACAACACGCCTCAAGTTTTTCGGATCTTCGAGCAGTTGGGGCACGATCAAGTTAACTTTAAGACGAGCCACAGCCTGTTTTAAAACTCGAAGAACCAACATTATTCGATCGGCCCGAGTCGCGGAAAAATCTATTTTGATGGCATCTTATAAGGTACTATTATGTTGGAAATGCGTTCATTAAGGCTTACCGATTTGAGCGCTCCGAATATCATCGATTTTGGACTCACTCGCTTGTTTGCTACGCATTATATCTGAGGTGCTCATCTTGTGTGTATTTGTGGTTATTTAACAGTTTGAGAAAAGTGGTTCGTGTTCACTCGTACGAAATTTTTGGGGTATTGAAGATTTAAGTTGACTCATGAGAATTAAAGACTCCTAGCCGCCTACTTCAAGTAAACTTGTAACTAAAAGTTCTCGATATTGTTTTAAGAATAGATCTGTTATCAATAATCTGCATTTTTGTCACTATCTATATTTTCTTAAATTCCTGACAAATGTGAGATTTTTCTTGCCAAGAAACTGAAGTCTATAAGATTTGTTTCTGCAATAAATTTTACAAAGATACGTTTTTCAAATCTAAGGAAAAAAATACTTGTGCTTTACTTTGTATTACATTTTGATCTTATAGTGCCGTAACTCCTTAAACCGACATTAATAAGCTTTTTTCAAAGTATATACAAGTACATTTTGTGAGCGTTCATATTATGAAGTCATTTTTCATCTCAAAATATGATAAGTACAGCGATGACTGATCTTGATTTATAAAATTATGAATAACAATTTGTATGGTAAATTATCAAATAAAGAATATGCCTTGCTGGCATAAGGCTTTAAGGCCGTTGGCAAGAGAACGAGCGCTTAATGTTTACTGCATAGATTTTATTGCAAGCAGGAGACGATACGAATTTTATGATAAATTTTAAATAACTGCACAGCATCGATAAAAGGCCATACAGATGAACGTGTACAAGACAGTGGTGGCCTAGCTTCCTTCCAGCTGAAATAATTTTACGGCCGAGAGCGCAATGGCGGCGCACCAAACACAAACAAGTCGGTCCCAGCTCCCGATCCCGATCCCGCTCCCGCCCCCATCCACGCACCCATGCGCAAAGGTTGGCCAAAACAGCAACGTCATAAATCACGTGCCTTTGCCTTCGTCTCAGCCACATCCAGCCAAGCAAGGAGCACGCAGCAACCAGTAACAAGCAGCCAGTGTCGAGCAAAAATCACAGAAACAGGAAAGAAAAGCACGGCAGAAAGCATCGAGAAATGGCAAACGTCGGCAACAGCCGCCCAAAAATGCGCAAGCAGCGGCCGGTAAGAAAAAGTAGACGTAACTTGGTAAAAAATTATCTGCGCCCAAAATGATTTATTAGCCGAAATGGCAAGCAAATAGCATTAAAAGCGTGGCCATATACCCTGAATTTCGGGTTGCCGGGGCACGGCCGAAGGGTTGCTGCATAAATTACCGAGAGCAGCAAGGCGACGCTCAAAAATGCCAACAACAACAAAAAATAACAAAAAGCTAGAGGCGTTCAACGGGGCGTGGTAGTTGAGTGGCAGCCTCTGGTTGCAAACTATCAAAAAAAAAAAAAAATTGCTTGCCTATTTTGCCAGGCGATGGTCCAAGTGTAGTTACAACCTGTTCAGACAGACCAGTTCGGTCAGGCGGTCACGCGGTCAGGATAGCAACAGCTGTCAGTGGAAATCAGTAGCGGTTGACTAAAAAGAGGAGATTCCGTACAACATTTGGAGAAATTTTACTTTGTTGCTAGTTTTCCCAGCACTTTAAGCTTTTCAAACAGTATTCTCTGAAATGGACATTTTCGGTTTTTGTGCTCGAGTCGCAATTGAATCAATTTTGAATGAACTTCACATGAAGAATGAGGGTATTTGTAATGAAATAATAAAAGGAAAAACAAGAATGAATGGACTCGAAACAAATTGCATTTGAATGAGAAAATAAATTTTTCCTTTGGCTTTACATTTTCCACTAGTAATGGGAACATGATGATTAAAGATTCACATATTCATATTTTCCAGCACTTATCTCCAATCTACTTGTATTTGTTGTAGTTTTGTGCATACAACCCATATAGTCGTATGCAGTCAAGTTAACGAGCATTTTGGAGAAAGAACCCTTCAGTCGGTTCTAAAATGTGGCAGCAATGGCATTCAGATGCTGAGGTTTCCATGCTCCAGTTGATTTCGTTGACTTTTCTTGTTGCTCGGATCCCAGGCAGCAACCGTAAAAAGGCAAACATACTCAAATTATGCTATAAATCTTCTGGCACAGCTAAACTATTGACTTTTGGTAACTTAAACGCCTGGCACGTTTGACGCTCAAAGTTGAACGCTTTCGATGCCTAAGGGCACGTGCCGGGTATGTCTATGTGGGTGTGGATATGGATTTGGATGTGGGTGGTTCCCCATCTGTGGTTTCTTTTACCAAACCAAAATTCAATAAAACGAAACGCAACAACTGTCTTTAAAAAGTTTTGCTGCCGACACTGCTGTGGCTCAGAACTTAGGCAAAGAAATGTAAAGCCTGTTATCTGACTGAAAAGAAATGGAACTAGGCATTGATTCGAAACAATTGCCTGGTGGAGATAAGACTCTTAAGTCTACAAAGCAAGTAAAAGACTAATAAAATGTATTTAGAATTTAAGCACATTAGCATAAAATAACGATCGACCTGTTGAATATGCTATGTAATGGTCCATTAAATAAAGTCCATCGATAAAAAAAATAAATTTATGCAAGAAATTGTAATGTGTATTTAAATCTAATGTGTGGACGAAGTTCACTTTTAAGATAAAACCATTTCACAAAAAACAGCATACTTCATAAAAATCTTATTTATTTCCGGGTAGAGTTTGATAATTTTGTGTATAGTGCTTCGTAGTTTATACTTCTAATTAATTATGTATATATTTAATCATTATCCATACTTAAAGTGGCTTTCAGTGCGTTTTGAGAAAACAAGGGCTCTCATTCACGTAAAATTTCAAAGCATCCGGAGATTCTGGATTTAAGATATTCAATCGAACGCTTCAATTTTTGTTTAAATTGATAGAAAATATACTTTATACTTCTAATTAATTATTTATTTATTTATTTATTTATTTTATTTATTTATTTATTTATTTATTCCTAGTGCTACAAGAATGATTCTTATAAATTAATGCACTAGTCATATTAATTAAATTTCCTTAGATATTATTAAAATTCAAGTACTTAACCTATTTATGTATATATTTAATCATTATCCATACTTAAAGTGGCTTTCAGTGCGTTTTTGAGAAAACAAGGGCTCTCATTCACGTAAAATTTCACAGCATCCGGAGATTCTGAGATTTAAGATATTCAATCGAACGCTTCAATTTTTGTTTAATTGATAGAAAATAAACAAAGTTTTGTTTATCCATGTAAAAATATATAAATTGCATTGTCGGCCGGCAAATAAGCAATATACAGAACTCAACACACAACCGCCACAACTGCCCCGCCTGTCTAGCCAAACGAAATGTATTCGGTTGAACCCAAACCGCACATTTCGCGGTCTCGGCTACCAAATGTGAAAAGTGCTTTGTTATCTGCATAATTTTCAGTGAAAATGAAAAACTCAAATTGATGTAGTAAAAACCACTTTGTTATCACGCGGCCAACACGTTTTGTGCCCCAAAAAGGGGCAAAGTTGCTGGCAGCCTATAAATACGCTCACATTTCTGTCTGTGGCTTGTGTGCGATTTGAGAAGAGCTCATGTATGTATATATGGGTGGGTGTATGTATGTGTGTGGGTGTGTATGTATGTATGTGTGTGGGTGGAAAAGATATGTGGTAGTGAAACTATTTTCGCAGTTCAAGCTCATAAATAACTCATTTGGTTTATGGCGCTGGTAAACTTTAAAGTAAACAAGCACAAAATAGTGGCGTCAGCGTTCAAACCAAATTCGAGTGGCAAACTTTTGGCAAACCTAAAATGTTAAGATTTAACGGGCCGTAAGCATAAAGTTTTGTACAAGTATAAGGCTACAAACATATTTAACATAGCTATTAAATATACTCATACCTAGTAATTACCACAGATATCATTGTCATTTCGCAAGTATTGTTTTCATTTCATATATGTATGTTTGTTTAAATTTATTAATAAAGCTTAGGTAACACAATTATGCTATGATACTTATATTATTATATACTATATAAATTATTGCATTTTATGATTTCACAAAACTTGTGAAAACAATAAATTTCTTTTGTAGTAATCATTAAATTAACTTAGTAGCTTAAAAATCACCCCTAAGCTGATATGAACTTCTATCGTTCGTTAAAGTTATAATACAGTTAAGATCTGGTGAATGCATTGCATTATTTCCTTTTTTAAATTAAAATTATATATTAGAGGTATGCTAAATTCTCAACATTACCTAAGCCAATGTGATATTTAGGCCACAAATATTATTTCATAATAATGTCTATTTAAGCATCCCAGCGGTGCACTCTAAATACCTCTATGTATTATTTAAGCTTATGATCGATTTAAAAATTAAATAAAAAATGCTTTTAAAATGGAGGGTGAACCCTCTCAATTAAAACCGTTTATCTATTATTTACAATTCTTAATTTATGTACACACTTTCGAGCCTTTAACGAAAAACAATTGTCACTCTTGTGGATTGTTTCATTTAGCTTTTGAATGAAAACGAATGAAGAATTGTTTGTTGTTTTAGGCAGCTGGTAAATATTTTGACAGACCCACAATGCCGCGGCGCGCCAAGGGAGGTATAAATATTAATCCATTTATGTAGTAAATAAAAATAAATGTATTTTGTACATGTTTCACAGTGTGCTGTCTCGGTTGATTTGGCTGGACCGAGGGCCGAGGGGGTCAGTCAAAAGTTGTGCTTTTGTGCTTTGTTGATGTTCAATCAACTGAATTCGTTAGTTCGTTAAAAAATCATAGTTTACAGCTCAGCGACGAAACAGGCAAAAAAAAATAAAATAAAAACAAAAACCACAAGCAACAGGCACAAAAAGTTTTTAGGAAAAAAAAGAAAACAATTTCACCCCGAACATTGTAGCATATTGAAACTCAATGATATGAAATATATACTTCCGATGCAAAATAAAACTGCATTGAATAAAGCGATAAAAAGAACAAAAAGGGCATGGGCGAAACAAATTGCATTCAAGCGATGTTAATATATAAAAGCAAAAGTTGGCCACAAAATAAGTTTTCGAAATGTTATAGGAAGTACTCAGTAATTGAGTGAAAAGAAATATGGATGTCATAAAAGCTATATATTTAGGAAGTATATGAA